CCACCAAATGAACTTGATGAAAACCATCTAGCTTCAGAGCTTTTTGGATTTTTGGAAATGGGAGTAAGAGATTTTAGCCTTCTATAAGAATTTATTTTTAGGAGAAGCTTCTCTCTATTGAGGCCCAACATAATGAACCAGCTTGGGGTGGAAGCTGGCCAAGAATTCAGAGAACAGGGAAGCTGATGGGCCTCAGCAGCACCAGCATAGGGCTGACTCAGAGCCACAGAGCGATGTGCACAGAAGGAGGAGGAGGGTTCTTCTTACCTAGGGGCAAGATCTGAGTTGGGCACTGGAGGATCAATAGGAGTTTGCCAAGCGAGAAGGGTAAGAGAGGGCCCAGACCATGGTCTGAGGGTGCTAATGGACTCCTTCTCAGAAAAGTGCTTCTATTCTTTTTTTTAAGATTTATTTATTTATTTGAGAGAGAGAGAAAGCACATGCTCAGGCAAGGAGAGGGGCAAGAGGAGAGGGAGAGAATCTCAGGCAGACTCCCTGAGATCATGGCCTGAGCCAAAACCAAGAGTCGGCCACTCACACGACTGAGCCACCCAGGTCCCCCACAGAAAAGTGTTTTAAAATGAGTAAAATAAAATAGATAGGATGACCAAGGAAACCAGTTACATGAAAATACGGTTAAAATACTTTTCTAATGATATATAAATAAATGTGCTTCTTTATTAATGTATTAAATAGCCAAGCCTAGCAACAGGTCCAACGGCTAGCCTGATTTTGAAATAATAATAAAATGATCTCCTGAGATTATCTGTAGCACTGCAGGGTGGCAGGAAAACATTTGTGACGTTCGTTGGTGACAAAGTCAGAGGTGCTGGTAACTAACCGTGGTTTATTTCCTATGTTCAAAATGGAAGGAAATGGCAGAGTTCAGTTAGGAGAAAAAAGAGTGATGTCATTTTTCTCCCCCCTCCAAATTGCTTACAGACCACTGACTTCTACCCCTAGATCTGAGGCAGCAGGTTAAGAATCCCTGGTTGGGTCAGGGAGAGCTACTGGGGAACAGGCTCGAGAAGGAAAGTAGGAAGGAGCCCGGCGAAGGAGCCAGAAGCAAAATGGGAGAAAGTTCTGGAAAGGTAGTATCTTGAGGAGATCCCATACATTTGGGTTTTACTTGTTCTCAGAAGAAATTTTTCTTATGACAAGTTATGAAAGGAATACATGTGCATTATAAAAAGTAAAGGGGAAGAAAAGGGGGAAGAAAGTTATTCCGAGTCAGCAGTCCCCATGAACGTCCAGCCCGTGAGCCATGGGAGGCTGCACAGTACCTGGCTGAGCATGCTGACCCCGGGCCCAGGGACTGAGGGTGGGAATCCTGACTCTGACCTTCAACCTTTTTGTCCTATTTTCTCGTCCGTAAAAGGAAGTAATAGTTCCGATCTCATCAGGTCGTTCTAAGAACTAAGTAAGTCCATTTGTACGAAGTGCTTAGAATGGGCCATAATAAGCATTCAGGAAATGTGGGCTTTTGTAACATCTTCTGGTCATTCCTGAGCTCATAACTGGTTTTTGTATTTAATTCATTGCAGTGTTCCTATCTCTCTACATATAATTTTATATCCTGCTTCTTTTCATATTATTTCATAAATATTTTTAATACTGTTAGAAACCGCTCATAAGCATTTAAAACACCTAAGCAGTATTTCATGTGGGTATATGACCCACACTTTAGGTAAGTATTCCCTTAGGATTGGACCCTTAGCTTATCTCCAATTTCCCACGGGAAATATTGAGCAGGCTTCCGTGTGGTTTACCTGCTCTTTATCGAGCGCATAACCCCGAGTCAGGCCCTCTGCTAGGTATGGAGAACACAGATGTAAGTGAGACCAGCTTTCTGCCCTGCAGCGGCCACACACCTATGTTTTAGGTTTACAGTTTGTCTCACAGTCTGGAGAATGTGTGGGAAGTGAAGAATTCTGGAGATGAGAGAAACCCCTTAGGAGGCAGGTGGCGAAAGGGGACAGCCTTAGGATAGTCACAATGAGCACAGAAAGGAGGGGACGGTGAGCGAGCAGGTCAGGGGGTCAGAACCCAGCCGCCGGTGGGGTACAGTGTGTGGGTTCAGTGAGAGAAGCCAAGGGAAAGTCACAGGGGACTTCCGCTGGGAGCTTTCGGAGCTAAGCAGGGTGGAGTGCAGTGATTCAAGGCTTTGTTGCCTAATCTTTGAGTTCAAGCCCAGCTCTGGCCTGTATTACCCGTGACCTTAAGCAAGTTCTGTCAATGTTCTAAGCCTCCATTTCCCCATCTGTAAAGAGGGGAAATACTGAATCTTCTTCCTAGAAGCATGACTGTCAGATCAGATTTTAAGTACCTGGCACACGTGTTGCATGGGCGTAAGAACGCCGTGTAGCATGTCAATGTCGTTCTAAGCACTTTGGGTCTATCAATTCGCTTTAATTCTCCCACCACCGCTACTGTTAGAATCGCCGTTCCAATGACGAGGGAGCAGTCCAGAGAGGTTTGGTAGCTTGCTCAGGGCCTCACAGCGAGAAATGACAGAGCCAGGACTCAAACCCATGCAGTCTTGCGTCAGGGACCACGTTCTAAATGACTGTGTTTTCTCCCTCTCTGCCATGGACGTGATGAGTCCCTGTGGCAATGTCTGGCAGGTGTTTGGAACGAGACTTTGTAACCCAGAACATAGGTCTGAGTGCAGGATCACCTGGGCAGGGATGAGAGTGGAGGTCAAGGCAAGGGTGACATTGCCAAGGAGAGGGAGGCATGGATTGAACCTGGATTTAGCAGGTGGAGAAGGGAGAGTTGCTGACAAAGGCAGTTGAGGAAGACTGACCAGAGACGCAGGCAAGAATCAGGGCTGGCTGGTGTTAGGAAATTCAAAGGAGCAACGCCATCATCAGCAATGATGTAAATGCTGTAAATAGTAGGGTGAGAATCACCAAGAAGTCCCTGATGAGCAGATTCGGTAGAAAGAAATGGGGCGGGGACCTGGATTGGAGGGGTGGGAAGGGATGCGTGAGGTGGGCCGTGGGGAGGTGGGCAGCTTCGAGGGAACAGAATGAGCACCAGACCGGAAGGGGCCAACACACTTGAATTTGGACACTGGCTCTGACCTGTGTGGGGTGCATGACTTGGCAGGAGTCACTGGACATCCCTTGGATGCTCTTTCCTTGTTGGTAAAATCAGGAGCTGAGATCCAGCCCTGAAGCTGTTGTCATCTGACAGCCGATGACCTCGGATGTCTAGAGGCAGTAGGAGCGAAGCTGGCTGAGATCACGTGGGTTAACTTACAGGGAAACTGCTTGAACCGGGCAGAGCCTTCTTCGGAGATGGGCCCATTCACTGTGACTTTGTCACTGGGAATGGCTCTGACACAGTGCGGATGAGTCCCCTCCAGCACCCAGCCTCTCTTGAGATCCGTGGCATGGCAGGATCCCTGCCCGAGCCTCAGGCCGGGAAAGGAGCTTGTAGATCTGTGGTTTGTGTGGTAAACACTAGGGTTTGGACTCTGAGGCTCTCCCCACCGCCTGTACCCCATGAGGGAGATTGTCTGGCCATGTGGGCCAATGGTGAGGACCGTGCCCTAGGAGAAAGAGCAGGGGTGGCTTTGCGGCCGACTCTGAGAGGAAACTTGCACTGATCCCTTAACCTCAGTTTACTGACCTGGGAAATGGCTCGGCCTTACTCTTGATGGTGCGTAGGAGGAAGATGTGTCCAGAGGCAAGCTTTGAGTTTTGCAGGGAAGAATGCCTTACAGCATGTCAGGGAAAGTCAGTGCATATCCCCCGGGGGCAACTCTTGGGTTCTGAGATCACGATGGATGTCCTGAGAATTATGTCAGATTCTGTATGTCAGAACTTCCGACTTCTTCTCTCGTCCCTCCTTTCTTGGTCACTAGTGTTTACAAATCTGAGATTCTCTCCTCCTCTCCTGACCACACAGCCCATCCATCCACTCATTCATCCAATGAATATGGGCTGGGCACCTAAAAAAACGTGTGCTGGCCACTGAGGTGATGAGGAGTGGGCATTCAGAGAGAAGGATGGCTCAGCTCGTGCCCTGACGGGGTTTGAAATCTGGTGGGAGCTGAAAGTCACCTAAGCAAAAAGCTGAAACAGACACGTTTGCAAGTGTCTTAGTTCAGAGGGACAGACCAGGGGCCTCGGGAGCCCCGGGAGAAGACTAACTGCCCATAAAGGAACCGGGGAAGGTGTGATCAGGAGACATTTGAGATGCTCTTTGACAGGAGAATGTCCAGAGTAGAGGAAGGAAGGGCTCCTTCTCCATGGGGAAGCCCCATACAGTCAGGGAAGCAGGTGCACCACGCAGGGGTCTAGGAGAACGGGAGTGACAGAGGGTGGTATTGAGACAGAAGACCCCCTCCTTGCCTCTCACTCTCTTTTTCTGCCTCTCATTTTCTTTTTCTTCTTACGTCTCCCCTACTCCCTTTGGCTTTAGTGGAGTCTGACTTCTCCTCTCTTGTCTGCGTCATCCTCCCCTCCCTTTGCACCCCTGCTTATCTGCTTTTCTCCCTCCCCTTCCTCTTTATATTTGCTAGGCTAACAGATTGCACGGTGGGTGACTGTTCCGTGAGCGGGGCCCTCCACCCCTGTGGCAGCCGTGCCTCGCTGTGCCTCCCAATACCCACCCTGCAGGCCTGGCCGGATGGAGTCTGCAGGTTCCCGCCATTAGCCTCTGTCCTTCAGTGACAGCCAATACAATTTATACTCCCTATTGGCTGTGGCCGTATGTTGTCATAACCTGGGTCATTTCCTCATTTAATACCGTCCATAAACTCCAATAAAACTGTCCCGGAGTCCCATAGTCCAGAAAAGGAGAGGCACAGGGTTTGGAAGGATGGGAAGGTGGCAGGGAGAGACGTGGAGGCGGGGCTTAAGGTGAGGGTCCAACAGGTGAAGGTTGGACTTGAACCTGACACCCAGGCAGGCCACCTGATCCCTGTCCCACCTGATGAGTGCCTTGTTTCCTTTCCTGCTGTCCACCTTCTGTCCCGATGCTGGCTGCAGTGTGTCAGATCCTCCCCAAGGGGGTGGTCGCTGTCCTGGGACCCTCGTCCAGCCCAGCTTCCAGCTCCATCATCAGCAACATCTGCGGGGAGAAGGAGGTGAGTGCCCTACAGGGTTGGGGGGCCATGGGCAGGCTGGCAGCCCGTGCCTTGGGCCCCAAAATATCATGGATTCTCAAGGTCTGGAAGAGCCCATTTGGGCCTGGTGGGTGTTACCAATAACAACAACAACCAAACATTGAAAAGAAATGGTCCTTTGTTGGGCACTTTCTTTTCTCTAGGTGGTTTGGGTAGAGGGGACACAGAGGAGAGGTTTTGTAACAGGATTTTCTTTCTTTTTTTTTTTTTTAAGATTTTATTTATTTATTTGATAGAGAGATATCACAAGTGGGCAGAGAGGCAGGCAGAGAGAGAAGGGGAAGCAGGCTCCCCGCTGAGCAAAGAGCCTGATGCAGGGCTCGATCCCAGGACCCTGAGATCATGACCTGAGCCGAAGGCAGAGGCCTAACCCACTGAGCCACCCAGGCACCCTTGTAATAGGATTTTTAAACCTCAAAGACCCCTGGGTCTTTGAGTCCCCAGAGGGCCCCTTGGTTGTGGTGGGGAGAGGGAAGAGGCTGTGGTGGGTAGTGGTCCAGGGGCCACCAAGAGGGCGGGAGTCTGAGCTCCCCAGGAGGTTTTGAGACTATTTGTTTCGACACTGGGATTCTGGCAAAGAATGCCTTTGGGACTGCTACATCTTATTGCTAAAATAAAGTTGGAAACCTCTGTCTTATAAATTCTCTAGAATCTTCCTCCCCATTCACCAATTTCTGTGTTTACTTCTTCAGTCAGAGAAATCTTCCTCAGGTGTCCCCTCGGCCTGGAGCCTCTCTAGCATCAGTGTGGAGTTCATTTCCTCTGGCTCCAGTTCTGTGGGGGATAAAGACAGTCGGGGATGAGTTTCTGAGTAATAGCCTGCTCCCCGGTCCATCAGCTCTCTCCTTTTCCCCTGGAAAAAACAAACTCAGAAGTTTGTTTGTTGTTTAGCTCGTTGATGGACTCCTTCCTGGCTTCTAGCTTCTATCCATCTTCCCCTTCATAGAAATCCCCTGGATACAGTGGCAGAGTGTCCCTTCAGCCTCTCTCTGGCCTCAAGGGCCTTCTAGCTAGGTCTTTCGAGGACAGATGGAGCTTGGTGGTAGGGGGCGAGAGCTCAGGAGCTGGGGAGGAGGGCGGGCAGAGGGCCTGGGGAAGGAAGGACCAAGCTTGCACCTGTCCTGGAGCCTGGATGCTCAGCCTTCCAGAAACATTAGCTTTGGGAGGATCTGATTCTAGACATAGGAGCAAACCCACTTCAGGACAGATTCCTCCTGAGCAAACTGTCCCTATCCCACCCACTTGGGAACCTACCCCCTTGATGCCACCACCACTTCTCTTTATGACCCATAGTCTTGGCAAGAGTCCCTGACGCTTGGGGCAGAATAGCTAATTTCCCTATTTCATGAACCCACTCTCAGAATCGTGACCTGCGCTTTGAAGTGCTGGGCAGCCCTACCCCAGTCCCGTGGCTGGTTCTGCTCCCTTAGGGTGAGCCACTGCCCTGTAGGCTGGGCCCCCTGAGCCTTTTCTGCCCCGGGCCAGGTCTCTGTTGACAGCCCCCATCCCTAGCCCCTGAGATGTCCTAAAAGAGGACTCTTGACCCATCCCAGGCCAAAAGAGGAGCCTCGGCCCCCATCGCACCCCCTCCACCCACCCCCTTCTCACAGGCCTTGGCCCCGGAAAGTTGGAGCTGATGTTTAATTTAAATCTTTCCTGCCACACTCCACGGAGCACTCAGATCTGTGGCAGGCTGTTACTCCAGCAGCCGCTGGGATCCTCACCAAGTGAGGTTGCCAAGACTTCAGCTCCCCATTTCCTCTTTTCTCCTCCCTCCCCGCCCCCCATCACACTGCCTCACCATTCCTTCCGGTCATCCCCTAACCCCCATTCCACAATGGCCTCCTCGTGGGCTTCAGTAGATGTTTTATCTTAGCTGACACGTTTCCCTTAACCCCGTTTAGCGTTTCAGGCCAGAGACAGGGACCCTGATTTACAGCCATCTCCCCGACCCTGCCACTCTGGCCCCTGTGCCGTTGACCTGCCAGCCAGGTCATGTTGCCCAGGGAACGGCCAGCCGGTTCCCCCTCCTTTGTCTGGTCATGTCCCTTCCAGAACAACCTTTCCTCTCCGTTCAGATTATGCATTTCTTTTTCATATTTTATGAGGCTGAACTGGCTCACACTGATTCCTCTCTGCTCCACAGAGAAGAAATGGAGTTCTCACCAAGGAGTCCGTTCCTTTAAATGCCGCTAACATCTCTATAGCCCTGTGGCTGGCTGGTTCTGCCTCACCTCTCCTTCCCCACACACCTCCATGGTGATGGTGACGGGACTGCTGGATGCATTTGCAATTGCAGATCAATTATGGATTGATCTTTGTCCTAGAGAGAGAATTAGGGGGATTGGCCTGGGCCTTCCCTGCGTAGGCCCATTAGAGCAGCTGGCCGATCTTCCAGCAGCCTTCAAGGTGGCGGGTTGTGCTGGAGATGTCCCACCGACTCCACTTGCTGGAGGAGCCCCTCATCACACACACACCCCCACCCCCGCAGGGACAGCTTCAAGAGCTTTTTCAGGAGCCCTAAGATTTGGGGAGAAAGGGGGGAAGGGAAGGAGAGAAGGCATTGCTGGGACACTTATGACATGTTAGGTCCTAAGCTGTCCACAAGCAGGCTCTCATTTTACCCTCCCAGAGATCCATGAAGCACCCATTGGTGTCTCCGTGCTAGGAAGCATAGACAGGTTAAGCACCTGGCTCCAAATCACACAGCAGAACCTGGCTGAAAACCCAAGTGTATAACCTGTAAAACCCATTTGTCCTTCATCTGCCTGAGTATCCTTCCTGATCCATCTCTAGGGTCTGTGGCTTGAAAGGTATTTCTAAGGGTACATTCTGTTGGGGTGAGTTAGCTGGAGCCCTGCAGTTTGGATGGCCACACACGGAAGGCCTGGGTCAGAGATGCTCAAACGTATAAGCCGGTCGGCCTGGCCACCCCAGCCTCCCTTCCCCTGCCTGGCCTTGGCCTCCATCTTGGCCCTTTGTGACCTGTTTTTCCTTTGCATTTATTGTTCTTTTTAGACAGATTGTGTGGGGTGGAAAATATAAGGAAGAAAGACCCTTTATGACAGTCCTCAGATCAACCTTAGTCTTCTAAGTCTTCTCTCGTAACTCACCAGGCTCTCTCCAGGACTGCATTGTTTAGTCTCTGCTGGAAAACATTGGTTGCCTTCTCTCTGTGGTTCGAGGGCTAATCCTAGTTGAATGTAGGAATTTTCTCCCTAGTGTCTGCTAAGTCTTCCCCTCCTCCCCACCCCTGCCTCCATTCTCAGAGGAGCTCTGGTCTCTGGCTGACCTCTCCCAGAATCTTTTTGTTTTGTTTTAATTTTTTTCTCTCCCAGAATCTTAGTAGGACAAGGTAACAGAATCCTATAGACACCATCTCAACATCCTCCCAGAAAAGAAAGTTTCTGCTGTCATTTCTAAATAACCCATTTTCAGAGCCAATGAACTCACCACCAGAAAGTTCTTCCTGCTCTCTACCCTCAGTCTTACTTGCTTTAACATCCTTCCAAACCCATGCTCGCTGCGACTTGGTCCTCCCGAAGTGCGCTGGTCTTATGGGAGGATGTGCATTGAGGTTTCCTGAGTCCATCTCCAGTAGAGATACCAGGTAGCTCTCCTGGCTCCGGGTACCAGGGATGAGAGTGACAAAATAAAATCAAGGTGGATGGCAGCTTATTACGCTTTAACTTTCCTATTACCTACCCGATAGCCTTAGCCACTGATAGAACAGCATCAGAGGCTGCTAATATCTCTTCCCGGGAGAAGAGAGGTAGGAGGTAGGGGCAGTGCCTCCAGGAAATGTCGGTAACAGACACAGAGGGAAACTGACACTGTCCTAATGAAGCCAGAGCACGTTTTTATTTACCGGGCTCCACTTGGAGGCTCTCTGGACGGCTTCTCAGCCTGCGACACTCCCCACTCTGTGTGTGTGTCTGCAGAGGGACCCATCCCAGGCTGTCACACAGGAAGTTGGTTGGGAGCTGGTTTGTACACACTTGTCGGCCAGGCTGGGCTGATGGGGCTCCTTTCTTAGTCCCCAGGGCAGTGTTTTTCTCTTTCTGCCGCCTCTGCTCTGATTTATTAACTACTAATAAAATATTGTAAGGATTATGGCTTCGAGACACTTTTGTCTGGCTGCCTAGCAGCGGGCAGTTGCTCTGAGAATAAAGACCTATGACTTTGCCCCCTCGGGGCCACAGCCCCCCGTGCCAAGGTCCACAGCGCATTTATACAGGTCTCCCGCCAGAGGGCTTCTCATCCTGGGTGTTCCTATTTTAAGCATCGTGCAAGACGCATTCTTGCCTTCTTCCTCCGGCATGGGTGTCCTGAGTCCCGCAAGCTCCATCTCCACCGGAGTGTGGCAGAGGCCTTCCCGAGAAGAATCCGCCGTCCACAGCCTCGTTTCCCTCATGCCTGCTTTCCTTTGCACTCATTCTGGATCCTTCCAGACACCTGTTTTTGCCCCTCCTCCCAGGTCCCTCATTTCAAAGTGGCCCCGGAGGAATTTATCAAGTTCCAGTTCCAGCGATTCACAACCCTGAACCTCCACCCCAGCAACACGGACATCAGCGTGGCTGTCGCTGGGATCCTGAACTTCTTCAACTGTACCACCGCTTGCCTCATCTGTGCCAAAGCAGAATGTAAGCTTCCTCCGCCCGCGGCCCCCGCGGCTCTGCCGGTCGCAGTCCTGGTTGGTTTGTGGATTTCACCCCCAGGGCTTTGCCCTTGGCTCTGGATCCGCCCGGAAGAGGAGGGCTCCCTCTGCTGGTGGGGGTGATGATCAGCAGCTTTAGGCATTCCCACGTGTCCTTGGCTGTTTGCCTGTCTCTGTGTGTGTGTGTGTGTGTGTGTGTGTGTGTGTGTGTGTGTGTGTGTGTGAGAG